TATTCTTCTTGCAATACTCAGCTGCCTCTCTTGCCTGCTATTTCTGACATCTCTTCTCAGTATTCTGCTATGACTGCATCCACTGTTCACTCCTAGCTATTGGCTCACTGATACTGGTGTTTCACATCACCTAACCTCAAAACTTGAGGATCTTTCTCTTTCCTTTCCTTACTTTGGAGAAGATAAAGTTTCTATTGGCAATGGTCATAAACTACCTATTACACATACAAGTCATACCTTTCTTCATACTCCTTATTCTTTCAAACTCACCAATATTCTTTGAGTACCTTTTATTGCTTTCAATTTATTATCATTCAAACAATTTTGCACTGATAAAAATTGTCAATTCTTGTTTGATTCTAACTCTTTTTCTATCCAGGACAAAGCCACAGGTCAAATTCTCTACCAAGGCAAGAGTAATAATGGTCTGTGTCCCATTCATGCACTCAACCACTCTTCTATCTCTCCTTGTGCTTACCTTGGCTCCAAAATTTCTCATCACACTTGGCATGATCAATTGGGACATCCCGCAAATTCAGTTTTACATCATATTCTTTCTACCTCCAAATTACCACAACCTCTATCTTCTAGGTCTGCTTGTGTCTGTGAATACTGTTTGTATGGCAAAATGACCAAGTTACCATTTTCTATTTCTACATCTAGGTCTGTAGCCCCTCTTGATACTATTCACAGTGATGTCTGGGGCCCTTCTTCTCATGTATCTTTACATTATTTTAAATACTACATTTCCTTTATTGACAGCTATAGCAGATTTACTTGGATTTTTCCATTGGTTCATAAATCTGATGCTTATTCTGTGTTTACTAAGTTTAAACCCTTTGTGGAAAAACAGTTGTCACATTGCATTAAATTTTTTCACTCTAATGGAGGTGGAGAATATCTTAGTTCTTATTTTCATGATTATCTTGATGCTCATGGCATTCATCATACCAAGTTATGTCCTTACACTCCTTAGCAAAATGATATTGCTGAGAGGAAACATCGTCACATCACTGAGACTGCTCTTACTTTGTTAGCCAGAGCTTCTTTGCCATATGAGTTTTGGTTTCATGCCTTTGCAGCTGCTACTTATTTGATTAATAGAATGCCTAGCAGAAACACAGGCAACAAATCCCCTTATGAACTTCTGCACAATACACTTCCTGATTATTCAGCTCTTAAAATATTTGGTTGTGCTTGTTACCCTCTGCTCAAGCCTTATTCTAATCATAAACTTGAGCCTAGAACTACTCAGTGTGTGTTCCTTGATTATCCCTTTGATTACAAGGGTTATTTGTGTCTTGATCCTCAAACTAATATGATTTATACATCTAGACATGTTATCTTTGATGAAACCACATTTCCTTATGCTAAATCCTTTTCTTCTTCTTCTTATATTCCCCCTGATCCTAGTCATTGGTTTCCTCTCTCTACTTCTCCTGGTACTTCTCAATCTTCTCTCTTGGGCTCTCCTTCTTCTGTTTCATCTATTGCTTCTCCTGAGGTACTCCCTTTTCTTTTTTGTCATACATCAGCTTCTTTACCTTCTGCCACATCTTTGTCTTCTACTCCATAATCTACATCCTCTACCTTCCCTATATCTTCTGCCATATCTTCTTCTAGTCCTATTATGTCTAATTCTTCCTCAAATCCTCCTCCACCAGTTCTGCCCCAATCTCTTTCTACTCACCCTATGCAAACTAGAGCTAAATCTGGTATTTTCAAGCCTAAAGCCTAAATTTCTGCTAATTCAGTTGTTGAACCTACCTCCTTTACTCCTGCATCTAAATTTCTTGAGTGGAGACAGGGTATGTCTAAAGAGTTCTCTACTTTACAACGTCAAGGAACTTGGACATTGGTTCCTCCTTCTAACCATTCTCCTATTGGTTATAAATGAGTTTTCAGAATCAAACACAATTCTGATGGCATAGTTTCTAGGTATAAAGCCAAATTGGTGGCTAAAAAGTTTCATCAAGAGTATGGGGTTGATTATCTTGAAACCTTCTATAATTAAGCTTGTTCTTGCCCTTGCTACTCAGTTCCACTGGTCTTTACACCAATCTCATGTAAAAAATGCCTTTTTGCATGGGGATCTTCATGAAGAAGTTTATATGACTCAACCTCCAAGATTTCTTGATCCTATGACTCCTCATTATGTTTGTAAATTGCATAAATCTCTCTATGGTCTTAAACAAGCTCCTAGAGCTTGGTTTGAGAAATTCACCGCACACCTCTCTTCTTATTCCTTTACTGCTTCTCCTGTTGATCCTTCTCTTTTTATCAGAACTATTAAAGGATCTCTTACTATTCTTTTACTCTAAGTGGATGACATAATCATCATTGGTAATGATCTTCTCTACAGTTCGTCTTTTAAGACAAATCTTAATAAATCTTTTGAGATGAAAGATCTTGGTCCTTTGCATTTCTTTCTTGGATTGGAAATTCAATACACAGCCACAGGATTGTTTATTAGTCAACAAAAGTATACTACTGATCTTCTTCAAAAAGCTAGAATGACTGACTACAAGTCATGCAAGACTCCATGTGGTGCCTCTTCTAAACTTGGCAAAACAAATGGATCTCCTTTGGCTGATCCATCTTTATACAGAAGCATTGTTGGTTCCTTGCAGTATCTCACTTTTACCAGACCTGATATTATCTTTTTAGTTAATCATGTTTGTCAATATATGAGCTCTCGTACAAATGTTCATTTTGTAGCAGTCAAGAGAATTCTGCAGTATCTCAAGGGTACTTCTCATTTTGGTCTCTCTTACAGGCCTAGTTCTTTTACTTTATCAGCTTTTACAGATGTTGACTGGGCAGGGGATCCTAATGACAGAAGGTCTACTACAGGATATCTTTTTTTCCTTGGAGATAATCCCATTCATTGGTCTACAAAGAAACAGAGTATTGTATCTAGATCTTCTACTGAGGCTAAATTTCGAGCTCTTGCTCAAACCATTGCTGAACTTAAATGGTTGCAACTACTTTTACAGAGTCTGCAGCTTTCTCCACCTCACACTCCTACTCTTTGGTGTGACAACATTTCAACTTTGGCACTTGCATCTAACCCCATGTTCCATGCCAGAACTAAGCATATAGAGATAGACTTTCATTTCATTCGAGAGAATGTGGCAAATAAACCTCTAACTGTCCAGTATATTTCTATCAAGGATCAATTGGCTGATGTCTTCACCAAAGGTCTATCTTTTGCCAGATTTTTGCTTCTAAGGGACAAACTACTGGTTAGTCCCCCACCCACAGTTTGAGGGGGTGTATTACACAATACCAGCACTACACACAAGCATTTCCCTTATATCAGTCACTGTCATGTGAAGGAATTGGATTCAGTTGCTGAAGCCACTAGCTTGCGAGTCAGTCTATTAATTAGTTAGTCCTAGCTGGCATTGTAACTAAGTTTGGTTATACATACTTGTATACTAAACTGAAAACTCAATGAAAAACATTTGTCTCTCTTAATATCTTTGTGTGCATCTGTCTTCTTCTTCAAGCTTTCTATAGATTCTATCAAGAAGTGCTTCAGCTATAGGTTTGTGGATAACAATGTTGGATACAATAATTACATGGCAACGATGAAGCTGTTACCATTGGANCAGTGTGTGTTCCTTGATTATCCCTTTGATTACAAGGGTTATTTGTGTCTTGATCCTCAAACTAATATGATTTATACATCTAGACATGTTATCTTTGATGAAACCACATTTCCTTATGCTAAATCTTGTTCTTCTTCTTCTTATATTCCCCCTGATCCTAGTTATTGGTTTCCTCTCNCTCTTCAATGCATTGCAAAGCGAATAACAGAAGCTCTTGTTGCTGCCAAACAAAACTATGCTTTGTATAAATTGGCTAACCTCGCTGGTTGATAAGGTGATACACCTAGAGAACTCTATGGAAGCTTTATTTGGACTTCTTGCATCGTGTTTTGCCCATGAACGTAAATTAACAAGCCAAACTGCATAAATTATGTATTACGTGTTTTTTCTACTTCGTTGTTGTTTGTTTTGTCATCCCGTGATCAATACTACGGTATCAAATTATATATATGAAAGAAACTTGTTCACATTTTTAGGATTTCCGTAATCAATGGCTTTCAAGGGGTATGCTTAGAGTAAAAGGAATGAAACCAAAGTTCAGTTTTTGTTAAATACCAGGGAGGTACACATACCTTGGCCTTATTGCACTTTTTTTTTTATCAGAGGAGAACTACAATACTTAACACTTAAAAGTGTAAGACTGCAACATCCATATAATGCACACACACACCCAAAGGTTATCCAATGTGGGATAGCCCTAGCCCATCACCACTATAGGCTTGAAAGCCTACCCATCACCATTTTTTTTCTTGCACTTCAAGCCCTTCTTTCTTTAGCTAGAGTTTGATCCTATAATACTCTATAGCAATCTTTATTCCTATCACCCCTTGTCGTAGAAACTACGATCCAGTAGCCTTTGTAAATATTATAGTCCGAAGAATATCTATACCACTCAAGCTAGAGTCTTACATCTAATGAAGAGGCAGTTGTTCCTAAACCAAAAATTCAACACATTGTACGATGCAAGATTCTAAGAAAATTGAAATAAGATCGTAAACTATGTTATCAGTTAGAGGAGCGAAGCCACCCGACTGAAAAGAGAAGAAATGATAGCTAGCTCGATCGACTAGTATAAAGAGAAAATGCAATTGACCGAGTTTACGAGGTTAAGGAGAAAAAAAGAAGATATGACTTCAAATCCGAATATAAAGTATAGAGCTTTGTATCTTGTTAGAAGTAAGAAACCCTCTTATTATTTTACAAGTATTTGGAGATGGCTAGTTTTCATAACTTAGGTGGTCTAAGTGTAATTTACCCGCTTCCCTCGTTTTCTTCGTTTAATAAACCCCCAAAAGCAAAAGATCTAACAGCACTCGAAATCTCCATCCTCTTCTAACCGATCATTCCTACGTTTTCATTCCCAATTGCTTCTAATCCTCTACATCAATGGACTACCAACACACAACCCTCCAATCACGACCCCACAGACGATCTAGTGGCGGGGAACGACTCATCGGATCACACCCAACGGTCCTCGATCTCACCAGCTATCAGCTCTATGATCTGCACTCAGTCGAGCTTCCACCGAGTCTAACCAAGTTAGACTTACCGGCGAACCGTTTATCGAAATTAGAGCCCCGAATTGGCCAACTGTCTAACCTCAAGAAACTCCCTCTTCGCCAAAATCTCTTCGACGATGCAGGGGTTGAGCCGATTGCAAAATGGGACGCTATATCGGACCTCGAGGTATTTGATTCTCTCCCAAAAATCCTAAGCAATTGGTATTATTGGGCTGTGGTTGTTTGGGATTGTGAATTTTCTTTTCTTGTCATTTTGTTGGTTTCTGAGAAAATGGACGATAGGAAAGAAATTTTTGAATTTGAAATTTCATTAACTAGGGCTTACACTTCAAAAGTATTCTATTCTTTTTTCTTTGGAATGCTGTTCATTGGGTTTTTGTTGATGTTTGGTAGTTTGAGGTTGTATTGTCTTGTTCATCTGTTTAGTGGATTATATAGTGCAGAAAAAAAAACAGAAAATATTTGTTTAAGCTTAAAGTTCTACAAATTAGAGCCTACAGCAATTTGATTTAGTCACCGGTGTTGAAGTATTTGACTGTTTCTCTCAAATGTATGAATTTGATATTGTTGATGCTTTAATAGTTTGAGTTTGATTAATTTAAGAAACGATTTTTTGATGACCCAAAAAAAAAAAAGAAAGGAGGATGGATATTTTGTTTTGTTGAATTTGAAGACTACAGTTTTTAACATTAGCGCATAGAGATTGTTAGGTTTATCAACAAGGGGGTTATGGGTATGGACGAGGGGTGCCTTTGTTGTTGGAAGGAAACAGAAGTTGTGGTCTTTTTTAGCTATTTATGTTGTCCACCATTTTTCTAATTATTGCTGAGATAATGCAATTGGTGTTCCTTTTGCAGGAGCTGGTGCTCAGAGATAACCAGCTAAAGAAAATTCCTGATCTTATCATTTTCAAGAGGCTCTTGATATTTGATGTTTCTTTCAATGAGATTTTGGCATTGAATGGATTATCAAAAGTCCACAATACACTGTGTTAAGTGTAGAAGATTAACATAATATTAGAGAGAAACAGATTAACATAATATTAGAGAGAAACAGAGAGGTCAAAAACTTAACCTAACTCTCATACATCACTTGTATTTATAGTTAACTTACAATAATAAAAAAGACAAATACACTCTTTTATATTTACACATAATACCCTAACACTCTTAACAATTTACACATACTACCTTAATACTCTTAACACTCCCCCTTAAGCTGGACTATATATATCATATAATCCAAACTTGGAACAAATTGCTGTAAGACGCGTACGACTTAATGCTTTGGTAAACATATCTATAAGCTGATCTTCAGATTTCACAAATAGAGTCGTAATCTCCCCAGCTACTATCTTGTCTCGAATAAAGTGACAATCAACCTTAATATGTTTGGTTCTCTCGTAAAATACTGGATTGACAGCGATATAGATAGCTATCTAATTGTCACAGAACAACTGTAAAAAAGGTTGAACTGAAAATCTAATTTCTTAGAGGAAGTGTAATAGCCAAGTCAACTTACTTGTCGTATGCACTATTGTCCTATACTCAGCCTCAGCACTGGATCTTGCTATTACGGATTGTTTCTTACTTTTTCATGATGCAACGTTACTTCCTAGTACAATAACCAGTGGTGGATCTCCAATCAGAAGGAGAGCCAGCCTAATTAGCATCTGAGAAACCTTCCACTCTAAGATGTTTATTAGCTCGATATTACAGCCCAATTTCAAGAGCAAGTTTTAGATATCGCAGAATACGAGTAACTGTCTCTCAATGTGGTACTCTAGGACACCCCATGAACTGACTTACTATACTAATTGCATAAGAAATATCCGGTCTAGTAATAGTGAAATAATTGAGTTTCCCAACCAATCTTTGATACCGACCCAAATTCTCAAACAGTGCACCATCATCCATCAATAGTTTCTGATTCGGATCCATAGAAACATCAGTCAGTTTGCCACCCAACAAACTTGTTTCCTCTAGCATGTCAAGTACATTTTTCCTCTGGGATAAACAAATACCCTGTTTAGATCGAGCCNTTTGGTAAACATATCTATAAGCTGATCTTCAGATTTCACAAATAGAGTCGTAATCTCCCCAGCTACTATCTTGTCTCGAATAAAGTGACAATCAACCTTAATATGTTTGGTTCTCTCGTAAAATACTGGATTGACAGCGATATAGATAGCTATCTAATTGTCACAGAACAACTGTAAAAAAGGTTGAACTGAAAATCTAATTTCTTAGAGGAAGTGTAATAGCCAAGTCAACTTACTTGTCGTATGCACTATTGTCCTATACTCAGCCTCAGCACTGGACCTTGCTATTACGGATTGTTTCTTACTTTTTCATGATGCAACGTTACTTCCTAGTACAATAACCAGTGGTGGATCTCCAATCAGAAGGAGAGCCAGCCTAATTAGCATCTGAGAAACCTTCCACTCTAAGATGTTCATTAGCTCGATATTACAGCCCAATTTCAGGAGCAAGTTTTAGATATCGCAAAATACGAGTAACTGTCTCTCAATGTGGTACTCTAGGACACCCCATGAACTGATTTACTATACTAATTGCATAAGAAATATCCGGTCTAGTAATAGTGAAATAATTGAGTTTCCCAACCAATCGGATTTTCAAATAGTGCACCATCATCCATCAATAGTTTCTAATTCGGATCCATAGAAACATCAGTCAGTTTGCCACCCAACAAACTTGCTTCCTTTAGCATGTCAAGTACATATTTCCTCTGGGATAAACAAATACCCTGTTTAGATCGAGCCACCTCAATACCCAAGAAATACTTGAGTTTTCCCAAATCATTAGTATGAAATCGATCTTGTAAGAAGATTTTTAACTTGACAATCTCCTCATAATCATTTCTAGTAATCACAATATCATCTACATAGACAACCAATAGAACATATCGAGCATTCGTCTGTCTATGAAATACAGAATGGTCTGTCTGACATCGAAGAAGACCAAACTCTAAAATTGTATCTGAAAATTTACCAAACCATGCCCTCGGTGACTGTTTCAAACCATACAAATATTTATTTAACCTACATACACTTTTACCATACTCCCCCTGAGCAGTAAATCTAGGTGGCTGCTTCATGTAGACCTCTTCAACCAAGTCACCATGTAGGAAGACATTCTTGACGTTTAACTGAAACAAAGGCCGATCAAGATTAGCACCTAAAAAAATCAAGATACGAACAGAGAAAATTTTGGCAACCGGAGAGAAAGTCTTCTCATAATCAACACCATAGGTCTGAGTAAAGCCCTTTGCAACAAGTCGAGCTTTGAGACACTTCACAAAATCATCCGGATGAAATTTAACAGTATACACCCAACAACAACTAACAATTCATTTATCAAGAGGTAAACAAACGAGATCCCAAGTCTCATTATGATCTAAGATATCCATCTCATCCTTCATAGCTTTTCTCTAACCTAGATCAGATAACGCATCCTGTAAATGCTTAGGAATAGATATAGTAGATAATTGAGATGTAAAACAAGAAAAGACATGAAACAAGGCATCATATGAAACAAAATGAGCAATGAGATGATTAGTAACACATGAACGAGTACTTTTTCGAAGAACAATAGGTAGAGTCTAAATTATCTGATGTACCAGGATCAAAAAGCGGCAAGGAAGACGGTATGGGCACCTCAGTCGATGGGCGAGGACGACAAGAGTGTACACGAAGAGGTAAAGTAGATAGTAACACAGTGGGTAGCGGAATATCAGAAGGTGAGGGAAGAGATGGTGGTACAAGAGATGATTCAAAGTTCAGATCTATAGGTTGAGAAGGTGCTAAAAAATATGGAATAGATTCCTCAAATATAACATCGGCACTAGTAAAGTGTCATCGCAGAGAAGGACTGTAGCAACGATATCCCTTCTGTGTGTGGGAGTAACCAAGAAATACACATTTTGTAGCTCGAGGGTCAAGTTTATCAAACCCGGGATCCAAATTGGAAACATAACAGACACATTCAAAAACCTTAGGAGTTAGGAAAAACAAGGGCTTACTAGGAAAAATAACAGAATATGGACTTTGTCTATTAAACACAGAGGATGACATACGATTAATAAGGTGACAAACATTAAGAATAACATCACTCCAAAAATATCGGAGAATATGCATCTGGAATAACAGGGTACGGTGACTTCCAACAAATGACGGTTCTTACGTTCAGTAACACCGTTCTGTGGAGAGGTGTAAGCATATGAAGTCTAATAAATAATGCCTATTTTACTAAAGTAAGCTGAAAAAGGATCAGATTCATATTCCCCGAGCATTATCAGAACATAAAATATGTATACGACAACGATATTGAATTTTTATTTACTAGGTTGATAAGTTTCACAAGATAAAGACGACACATAACTCAAACTGGTAACTTGATGCTTCAGATTTTGAATAGAGGAATGTCCAAGACGACAATGCCATTGGAAAGGAGACAACGAAGTCTGGAGAGCCCGAGTAGGTGAATCAAAATCAAAGTAATATAGGCCACCAGCTTCATGCCCCGTACCAATCTTCATCTTCGTCTTGAGATCCTGAAAGACACAATAAGAAGGATAAAATATTACAGAACAATTGAGAGAATGAATAATCTTGCTGGAAAGTAAACTAAAAAGAAACTAAGGAACAAATAACACGAAAGATAGAGACATATCAAGACTCAAGTGAGTAGTCTCTAGACTTGAAATTTAGAATAAGTACTATTAGCAATAGTAACATTATGTGTGGAAGTAGCAGACTGATAAGTAGAAAAAACATCAGACACACCAGTCATGTGGTCAAAGGCGCCAGAGTCTATGATCCAAGGACTGCGAGTGGAGGATAATAAACTAGTAGAACCAGTACCTGACTAGGCAAAAGTAGTAGTGGAAAGAGATGGAACAACTTGTTACTGGGATAGGAACCGAGCATACTCCTCTCGTATAATAGTAACCGACCCAGTGTTTAGTGGAGTTGACCTAGGTATGGAAGCAGCAACAGAGGTCATGGGACCGTTGATAAGAGTTGGAGGAGTAGAGGTAGGTGGCAAAGATGGAGTAAGAGTTCTGGTATCTTGCTTGGGTTCCATAATAGTGCAGCAAATAGGAAATAAGAAGTGTTGCAATGCTGAACCAGAAAAAAGGAGACTGCTGGAAGGCTGAACTGGGCTAGAGAACTGCTGGACCGAACTGGTTGAGCCCTCTGGACCACTGAACCGGAATTGCTGAGGCTGCTAGAAGCTTGAATCGGACCTGCTGAGGCTACTGAAAGCCTGAACTGGATAGACTAGGCTTGCTAGACCGTTGAACCAGAGTAAAAATTGATTGAACCAATCTGAACCAGTGCAAAACTATCTGAATCGAACCCAATAAACTTACTAGATCACTGAACTAGAGCAATAACTGAATGAACTGATCTGAACCAATCTGAACCGCAGGAACTAGCTGAATCGGGATCATAACTGGTTTGGACCGAAGTGGGCTGGACCCGATATGATTAGGCTAGACTTAAAACAATTTAAACCCATTGATGGAACTGGGTTGGACCGAAGTGGACTGGACCCGATTTGATTAGGCTGGACTTAAAATAATTTAAATCTGTTGAGTCGGGTCTGGACCTTTTCTTCTTCGTAGATTAGGGTTCCAGTAAACCCTAGTCTTCAACTACGCCTCGACCACCACAACGAACGACAGACCACCTTGATGGCCACATCACAACAGCGCTACACCACGATGAATAAATCAACAATACACCACCACAACGAACACAAAACGAAGACGAAAGATGATCAACAGTACCACACCACCACCATTAGCGACAACACCACCACCACCACTGCAATGGAGATCACCCACAACAACTGTACCACCACCACTGTAGCTTCGACGAACAACATCACAGATCAATCACAACAACTGTACCACCACCACTGTAATTTCGACGAACAACAGTATCACTGCCACAAACAGAGTTAATTTATTCAAAAAATATATTTAGGATTGTAAGTGCTCTGATACCATGTTAAGTGTAGAAAATTAACATAATATTAGAGAGAAACAGAGAGAGGTCAAAAACTTAACCTAACTCTCATACATCACTTGTATTTATAGTTAACTTACAATAATAAAAAAGACAAATACACCCTCTTATATTTACACATAATATCTTAACACTCTTAACAAGTTACACATACTGCCCTAATACTCTTAACACACTGAAGGGGCTCTATGTGTCTAAAAACAAAGTTTCTAAGATGGAGGAGATTGAGCATTTTCATGAACTGCAAATTCTTGAATTTGACTCCAACAGATTACGGGTTAGGATCCTGGACTCTCGAAGAGGATTTCACAAGCAAAATTGGAAGTTGTCTTTAATATAGAACAGATGATTAAATGTGTCTTGGCATTTGGGTGAATATAAAATAATGCTTAGATGCTCACTCTGTGTTTACTATATTTAAAGGAGAGTCTTTGAGATTAAGTGGCAAGTGAGGTGTATTGTATAGTTCTTTTTTGGAATGTGTACTCAATCCTGACGTGCTTTGCTAATTCAGGTAATGGAAATTTTACAAAATTAAACAAATTTACAAGAGCTATGGCTCAGTCGGAATCGCATCCAAGAACTTAACCTATGGGGGTTGAAATGCATTAAGAAGATTAGCCGGCAGAGCAATCGTTTAACTTCTATGACAGGATTCGAGGTATTCTGCTGCTAAACATTTGTGACATATGGAAATAATGAAACTTCTATTTGAATCAAATTTCTTTCAATTAGAATTTTGGATAACAATAGTTTTTCTTGATTGTTTCCCTAATTACCAGGAATGTGTCACTCCAGAAGAACTATACTTAAGCCATAATGGTATTGCAAATATGGAAGGCCTATCAACCTTGATGAACCTTCGGGTCCTGGATGTGTCATCCAATAAGCTTACCACAATAAATGATATTGAGAACCTGACACAGAAAGAGTATCAACTTATTAACCTGGCCACATGGATCATGTATTTTCTGTTCATTTAAAATGTTTTCATATGTACTTTGAACCTTTTGCTGCAGATTAGAAGATCTATGGCTTAATGACAACCAAATTACATCACTAGAAGGTATAATGGAGGCAGTTGCTGGCTCCAACATGCTAGGCTGCAGCTTCTTTCTTTCATTTGCACATATTTAGTCTTGTGTATCTTTCCTCCTTGCATATATTGGGCGGATTAGGATGTCAGTAGTTCTTCTGTTTCCATCTCTTGAATTTATTCTTCCTAGTCATACTGTTACGGTAATTAAGGATTAGGTTACCGTCATTAGGAAGGGTATCATCTGTCCATAGGTTAAGAGTTTCATCACTACATCCTACATCCTCTTCAACTTCACCAAGGCTGTCTGTAATGTCAATAATTGACATAGAAATGCATGATATTTTACATAGTTTCCAATCCTCGGGAAGCATAGATTTGAAACCTCGTTGACACTACTTAATCTTTCTTTTATTCAATAATGTGTGTGCCCCAATTCCGCCATCCTTTTGTTATTCTGTTCTGTGTGAAGTATGGACTTTACTGTGTGATGGTCAAGTAGCATATTCCTGATCACCATGGACTCAGTTTGGGAGGATGCATCTAATCTGATGCACATTCTCACACAATATGCTGATAAACTGTAATGACTGTTTTTTTTTTTTCCAAACATATCTTTTTTTAACTAATTCGAGCTAAATCATGTTTCTGGGACATCCTGCAGGCAAATCCTCCAGACTAAATTACAATTTTGAGACAGGTCTTCCCAAATATTCAGCAAGTTGATTCTAAAATATTTTCCTAGAAAGTTGTCTCCAAGTTTTACGGCTTTTCAAAGAATGGATTGCTGATGCTGGACTTCACTTGGTGCAAGCACACAGGCTCAGTTCCGTCTTCTATTTTTCAGTTATCAAGGCAATTTAATGTGGCTTTTATGTTCTACCTCAGTTCTGGGTTCGTGCCTATTTTTGAAATTGGAGAATTGCAGGCGTTCAAGAAATACTGAAATATGAACTGCTTTGGTACCACCTTTTGAATGGTCTTTGCCTCGTATTAGATTTGAATATTAGGCTTGCCCTCTTATTGCTGTTACTGTCATTCAACCCCTCTTTTTTGCCCGTAGAACTGATGGAGATTATGCATTCAGTGACAAGAGGGTGTGTACCGAGTTTGTCATGGTGGTTCTCGGTTTGTCCGGGGACTAAAGATCAATTTTATTGACGCATCTTATACTGACTGGATTCTTGATTGTTAATGCTGAGTTGCGATGACTTATAGTCTTTCCTAGGCTTGGTTATGATTGCTTTGTTTCGGATAATGGTGCCCCATACTATCTGTTATATATCGTAGTTTGGCTCCAAAATGAATTACGGTGGGAAAGAAAATTCTAGTCCCATATATGAAATTATCCATAATCGTCCTCTACTTCGGACCTAATAATTCACTCTACGTCTGCCTTTACAAGCTCACCTATTTAACTAGTAATTAATCACATTCAAGTTGCAAAATAGAGTAAGAATAAGGGACCAAAATCACAGATACATAGAGTGATGGTAGAATAAGGTTCCTACATAGCATATAGAAGCAGCACAACTGATGATAGGACATTCGACCCTATGTGGTTTGCCATTCAAGCACTTTCATTCCTCGCATTTGAAAATAAGCACTTGCCTTTGTGTTTTAGGATTAGATTAAAAGTTGACTCCATTAGTAGCGGATGCAAAATGACTGGCAAATGGATATATATATATTTTTGATTGAAAAAGGGGTGGAAAAAAAGAAAAGCATCTGGAGATCACCCGATAGGTTCACTGGTGGGATTTGAAGTTTCTAACCACGCGCCTGTTACCTCTCTTGAGAATGAACCTAACAAGACATACGGATATATAATACAATCCTTCAGAGGAAATTTGGGGAGAAAATCTAGGGTTTTCGAATCTTCAGATCTATGACTAAATCATTTTGGAGGGCAATAACTTCTTCAAGCCCAACTCATCCATCTGGTGTTTGTAGCCCATGTACAGCCAATTTTGCCGGAAGAATTTATAATACTAAGTTAATCCAAAACCACAAAGATGTCACATGCTTATTTTTAAACGACAAGGTTGCAGGTCCTTGAAGGGCAAACCACATGGAAGTTTACCCTTTTTGTTGACAGAAACGATAGACACACACACACACACAGAGGACCACTACAACACCGCTACTTAAAAGTGGTAGTGTCATAGGGCCTTATACACACACACCCAACCCCAAGGCTATCCGATGTGGGATAGTCCCAGCCCTTACTCCTCATTCACGCCACTGGAAGTTTACCTTAGATGGAAATCAGAGTTTGTAGATCAATTCATAGTTAACTTTAAGCACTTCAAAATCTCCCTTTTAACTCTCGAAATCAAAAAAGTCAAAACACATCCCATTACCCATTCCAAACCTCATCTTGGTCCTTTTTCAAATTTCTTCTTCAAGGTTCAGATAGGAAGTCAGTCCAGGACTTCCACAGTGCAAAGGACGTAATGTGAGACAGTAATGAAAAAATAATAAAAAAAATATAAGCAATGAATTTTTGAGCATGTGAAGGATATAAGATCATCAGTTCAAAGTAAACAGCAGCACAAAATCCTCTACTCTTACCATATTTATGCAACGTCATGGGTTGTACACCTTGGTCTCTTCCTGCATCTCTTCCTCTTTCAAAATTTCCAGAGCAACGCAGCAATGATGAGGAACCTCTGCCCTCAACTTAACAGAAAGCAATAGTAATTTGATAAAGTTTAAACAAGAAATATAACTTCAGTTTCATCCCCCCCCAAGGGCAGAATACAAAGGAGATAAAATAATTCGAAGCAGCAGCCATACCAAGAAGAAAACATGTACAACTACATTAGAAAGTGATAAGTTTAGAGAGGTACCAAACCTAATAAGATAAAGTACAATTCTTTTCACCACATACAACTCAAGGCTGGACTCTCCACTAGCAAACTCAAGCCAGCACAATTGAGAAACATATGCATTGATAAAGCAAAAAGGTTCAAGCTATGACCTCAAGGAACCGATAGTAGAAAACATTTTAACGCCCCCTTTCAAAGGCAATACGAGTTCTATTAGATGCTTCGTAGCCATCTCGCATGGATGACCCAGCACTTGCTTTCATAGTACCTCCACTGCCCACTTTATCCATGGCTTTCTTACCCTTCTTCACCTCTGTCAAGAACTGGTCAAGGCCAAATGGATCAGCTTCTTCAGCCTCTTTCTCAAATTCAACAGGCCTATCTCTCGGACCAGTTTTCTCAGATGTGCCCACAAATGCCTTATCAGGCTTAAATCGATCAGTCTTCATTATCTTCTCCATCTGCTCATCTGCACCTCCGTACATATCATTGTCAACATCTTTCTTGGGCCTGTACAGTGTAGAAAGTGTAGGCTGGGCAGTAAATAGGCCCTTGTCATAGACATTGTACTGATCGGCGGTAGCAAACCCAGAATCCATTCCCTTCTCCTGGTTGAACAATCTCTGGTCATACATAACCTCTCCTCCTCTTCCTGCTCCAGTAGTTGCCATCCCAAGAGCAACTTTCTCACTAACATCGCGATCTCTATCTCTAGTAAGCTTACTCTTCTTTCCCATTGCAGCATCCTTGGCCTCCAATCTCCTTTCTCTCTCCCTCTCCCGTCGCCGCTCCTCACGAATTTTCTCCCTTTGTAATCGCTCCTCCCTTTCCTCCTTTGTCTCCCTTGGGGCATCCCTCTCTTTCACGCGTTCATAGTCCCCACCCATATCATCAGCATCCATCATAATCTTCTCAGAAGACACTGGAGCAACAGCTGGTGGTGCAGCACCAGTTCGCTCAGACCTTGCCTTCCGAGCCAACTCACGCAGCTCCATCTCTTTTCTTTCTTTCTCTTTCATCATCATCTCCTTCTGAACCTTTGAGCGCATTGCCACGGCCTCTCTAGCCTTCTGTTCTGCCACATACAATGCCTCAGAAAGCTTTGCAAAATTGTCATTAATCTGAACATCCTGAAGCCCCCTACCATCTGCAGCCAAACGCTTGTCAAGTGGAATTGTATACCCTTTCGGGTTCTTCCAGTTTGAAATACACGGTGGGATTTTCCAATCCTGCTGGTCCTTCACAGTCACAGGTCGAGGCGGAGAGTGCATAACTGGCACAGGTGGAGAACCAGATGCCTTGGGAACCCTCTTATGCTTAAACTTTGGTGGTTCTAACGGGTCCACAGGCATCTCCACCATCCTAATAATCCTCTCCTTAGCACCCGAATTAAAAGCTGCCGACTGCTGCGAAGGTTTATACTTAATAAACTTGGAATCGGAAGATTGAGTGGGTACATTTTTAGGCTGTGCTGCACTCAACCTCACGTTCACAATTTTCTCAAGGGCCGCTTTTGTCTGCTGGGTGGTCTCTTCAATTTCCTCGTTCTTCTCATCTGAATCCATCTCGCCCTCTTCCTCATCATTTTTCAAAACTTTCGGGACAAGGTCCCTATGCTGCGAATAAACAATCTTCGAAGCATTTTCATTCTGCTTCACAATCGCATCAAACGTCACATTACCATGCTCATCAACAGTAACAGGCAACGTCTTCGCCCCGGGGTTCCCGTCCCTTTTCCTCCCCATATCAAGAGGGTATTGAGCAAAGAGAATCTCTGGGAATGCCCCGCCATCACCATAATCCTCAAGCTTTGTTGGCCGAAAGCCCTGCCTTTTCAAGTATGGAGGCACTGGATTGGCCTTGATTGTGGCAGCTTTCTCGGCCTCCGCTGCAGTATACCTTTGCTTGAACCATGGATCATTCGAGTGGTCATAATGTGTAGTTCCAGTCGATTTCACTGGAGGAAGAAGCTCCTTCAAAGCTGCCATAGGAAACCCTTACTCGGAAAACCCAACAAAGGACGTGACTTTGACCACCTCCAAAACTTAAACCTAGAAGATGGTACCGGTAGATCAACAACATAAGCAAACACACAAACCAGAGACTATAAAAAACCCAGGAAAAGTATTAAAAAAAAAAAACCCAGGAAAAGTAATGAGAAAAACCCTGATAAAGGCCCCAAATCTTAATAATTGCAAACCCTAAACGCACGAAATTAGGCGATAAAATTTATTTTCACAAATTATGAACAACACTCGAGCAAATTCAACTAAGAGAGAAAGATAAAAAAGCAAATCAGCTTTTGCCTCGCGGTAGATACAAGTACTCAAATCAGTCAAGATAACAATAGCGAATCAATCAACTTCATATTTGAATTCGATTACCATATCAAAAATCAACTACAAAAACCTAATTCTACGCATGTATTAACACCTGGATTGTGTGTGATTACACTCCTAAATCTATAAGGAGAAGAAAATCCCAAATTTTATCACGAACGGTATACAACATAATCATCACATAAATATAAATTCTGAACTATACAAATTATACACCAAGCATATTAACTGTACTTGACTAATTAGAGAGAGAGAGAGAGAGAGGGGGGGGGAGGGGTACCTGACCTATTGAATAGAGAGAGAGAGAGAGCTCGTTGAGATGCTAGGGCAAGAGCTAAGCGAGAAGATATGGATGTGGCGTCTCTGGATATTTGATGGGTCGTTTCGAGGGGAGATGCTTCGGAGTCGGTTCAATGGTCAACATGGACCGAGACTTATGACAAGTAAATAGGTGTTTAAGATGCAATCAATTTTGCGTGGGCCAGACAAGAGTTTTACATTGGATCAGGAGCCATCCGTTCAGGCCCAAATATTCTACCATGAAAACCGAGCTTGATACGTCTATAAAATTAACACGATTGATAAATATCTCTAATAAAATAACTTAGATTAATCTTTGATATTTATACCATATTAAATAATTTTTTTTATAAGTATTAACACAAAAAATATACCAATAAAAAATAACATGTAAATAAACCATATTAATCAACATGAATTGATATTCTTTGATCAAATTTAGAGACTAAGTTTAGTGACCCAAATCATCCGACAACCTCACCTACAACAAATAAAAAAGTCCTAAAAATAGTCTATTGATATATTGGCATGCTAGTTCATTTGGATCACTAAATTTGATTTTCAAAATCGGTCAATATACCATGTACAGACACAAACAATCAATGTCAAAAATCGTATTTTAAATGCAATTTGATCCGAATCGACATCTTTTCAATCCATTATGACAGTTTAAAATAAAATTCATTATAGCTTATTTGTCATTTTAGATTATGACATATTAATATCTGATCTGATTATAATATAATTTATATTATATGTAATTATACAATAAAATTTAGTGATTATTTGACAACATTTATATTTCATTTGTTAAAATAAAAATGTAGTTTCTATTGAGTCATTTGAATTGAATTGAATTTTAAATTTTTAATGAATTCATATATAAATTACTAAAAATAGCATTTATTGGATATGTAGTTAAAATTTAGATCCAAATTTTTGACTGTATTTGAATTTGGATCAGATTGCCCCGATCCACCGGAAGAAGCATAAATTATAGGAAAATGCAACACAATTCAATTTGAACCTAAAATTTATAATTCAAATATACATTATCTTTTGAAGGAGTATTACTCTTAAATGTACGTGCGTGTCTGATGAAACTGTACAGACACAAATGTAGGAAATTCGAGAGCAACCAACATAGGTAGCCTAACGAATAACATCACGCCTCGTGGCATTGTTACTTGGGCAACCAATCACAATGTTAACATTAGGCTGACGTTTGTTGACAGAAGAATAACCAACGATTTAATGCAACGACAACTACAGTTAGAAAAGTTACAGTGACTACATTAACTGTAGGGGTAAATTTGTATTTGCAGTTAATAGCAGCTAAACCGTCTGCAAAGTCTTCCCTGTTTCTGGACACCTACAAGGCTACAACTACTCTCCCTCTCTCTCTCTCTCTCTCACTCTCTCTCTCTCTCTCTCACACACACACACACACACAGTGATATTGATAGCAGTCGCAGATATTGGTTTTGGGCTTGAATGGCGGCCCCGGAGAACGCGACAGGATCGAGTCTGCGTCTCGCCTTTGGAAATGTTCTCTCATTCTTCATTTTGCTTCTGATCGGTGTTCTAGCATTTTCGATCCGACTCTTCTCAGTAAACACCTGATCTTAGATCTCCATACTATATATACGTATAATATATGTATACACACATATACAATCGCATATGTATTTTAATTGGTTTTCTGTTATCGAAATTGAACAAGTATTATTTGTTTTGTGTGTTTGAAATGAATTTTGTGGATTCTCAGTACTTCAAGACTTACGTACTATTGATTTGTATTTTCAGGTCATTAAGTACGAGAGGGTTATTCATGAGTTCGATCCTTATTTCAATTACAGAGTTACTCAGGTCTGAACTGTTACCTTATTAGCGTATGTCTGAAATTGAAGAGCTTTCTTAGCATCAAATTTGAATACAAAAATCTGTAATTGCGTCCCAAGGTATCTAATTTTGAGTATATGATAAATGAAGAGCAAAATGAAATTCGTAGGACTGATGACTTGCAGAGAAAAAGAAATGTAAACTTTCTTGAGCCCATGATGATGAAATTGAAGCTTGTATCATAACCAGGAAGCTTCCATTTTATAATTTAGTTTCTTAAAACATGTCCATTTATTTATTTACTTTAGTATGTTCTCTCATAGGAATGACTTTTGTGCAATGTCATAAGAGATTAAGAGTAGGTTGATGTTGACAAGAGTATTTATTGGTTTCAGTATCTTGCAAAGAATGGGATATATGACTTTTGGAATTGGTTTGATGATCGGACCTGGTAATGGAAATTACAACTCGTGGAAAAATTCTCAGAAATCTTCTTGCTTACTGTTTTGGTTTTCAACTGACAAATATAAGTCATGCTGTTTATTTTACTTGTCCTGAGGTATCCGCTTGGGCGTGTGATTGGTGGAACTGTTTACCCTGGATTGACGTTGACGGCAGGCACCTTGTGGTGGTGTGTATTATAGTCATGTTACATCCTAGGACAATAAATTTTCCCCAGTAGCGGTTTACTGGTCTGTCAGACTTGGTTAATTCTGTTTATTTGGTTTTCCAACTATAACAGCTTATAATCTGACCTGGGGTCATACTTTATTATGGCAGGATACTGAATTCTTTAAACATTCCTCTATCTGTGGAGACTGTTTGTGTATTTACTGCTCCAACATTCTCTGCTATTGCTGCTTGGGCTACTTTCCTTTTGACGAAGGTGTGCTTTCTGGCCAGCTTAATCTTTGTTTTTTAATTGTAGTTATTACCATTAGGTTAGCTGATATCTTTTAATATATTTCTTTGAGCTTAGGTTTCTCAATCTAGTTTTGTTGGCCCTTGTAATAGGAAGTTAAGGGCACCGGTGCTGGACTGACTGCTGCAGCTCTTTTGGCCATGGTAAATTTTGTATTGGGTATCTGTAACTTCATTTCTTATTCTTTTTGATGCTGTTTTGAAATTTTAAACAGTAGTTTCTCATGTAGTCATGTGTCCTTTTCCTTGCAGTATTATTGCCAAAAATATGAGCATATCTTTCTAATATTTTTAATTATTTTTGAATGATACTCAACAATTTGAGCTGAGCTATGTCATTTGTATTTCTCTTTCTTTCATTCATCCCTTTTTTCCTTCCCTGTTCTTTTTTACTGTTTCTCTTGGACATAGTTGTCAGTCAGTAATGANATGAGCATATCTTTCTAATATTTTTAATCATTTTCGAATGATATTCAACAATTTGAGCTGAGCTACCTCATTTGTATTTCTCTTTCTTTCATTCATCCCTTTTTTCCTTCCCTGTTCTTTTTTACTGTTTCTCTTGGACATAGTTGTCAGTCAGTAATGACATATTGGAGCATCAGGTGTACATCTTGTTATGGTAGGGTTTTGTTGTTAGAAGTTCATCAATTGTGTGTTTGATTTTAACAGTAAACCTGTTGACAAGCTTGTCTGTCTTACTTTTGTTTTTGTTCTTTTCTTGGTGATAGTAGTACAAACTTTAATATTAAGTTTGCTGCTCTATGTGTTTGTGGTACTCTATTCTATGTGAATGTAGACAGTAAACCTCTCGACCAAGCTTGTCTTACTTTTGTTTTTGTTCTTTTCTTGGTGCTAGCTAATATTAAAAACTTTAATATTAAGTATGCTGCTCTATGTTTTTGTGGTACTCTATTTTAAGTGATAATCATACTCAATGTTTTCTATGTGATCTTTTTTAGGTTCCATCCTATATATCTCGCTCTGTGGCTGGCAGCTATGACAATGAAGCTGTTGCTATATTTGCTTTGATCTTCACTTTTTATCTCTATATAAAGGTCAGATTTGATAAGAGTTGTGTTAGGTGTCCCTACTGTGCTATATTTAGTACTAAAACTAAACTTTGTTAATATCTTTGTTACTGTACTATAGGTTGATCATTTTTTATGGATCTTTATTGAAATTTTACTGATGGATTGTGATTTGTATAACGAACCATTTCCTGACTATNATTTGTTAATATCTTTGTTACCATCCTATAGGTTGATAATTTTTAATGGATCTTTATTGAAATTTTACTGATGGATTGTGATTTGTATAACGAACCATTTCCTGACTATGATTACTCCTTATCTGCAGACACTGAACACTGGATCCCTCTTTTATGCTACTTTAAATGCGATAGCATACTTTTACATGGTATGCTTTGTGTTAGTATGCAAGTCTTCATCTTATCTCTTATTGTACTAGCGTCTGTCAGTTTGGCGTTTCCTTTATTCTTATGTTTGCTNGTTAGTATGCAAGTCTTCATCTCATCTCTTATTGTACTAGCGTCTGTCAGTTTGGCGTTTCCTTTATTCTTATGTTTGCTGGTGTGCTATATTTTCTTTCAGGTTTGCTCTTGGGGAGGGTACACCTTTATTATCAACCTCATTCCAATGCATGTGCTTCTATGCGTTGTAACTGGTCGCTATTCCTCTCGGCTGTACATTGCATATGCTCCACTTGTAAGTATGTGGTGCATTGAAGGAAGTTGAATTATATTCTAAAACAGTTTTAGAGTATCCATTTATCATGAAAGATTAGAAAATACTTGGGATTACTTTTTAGAATCTTGGCTATATAAGGATAGACTTTAAACATGTTTACTTTTTATTAAAAACTTTAAACATGTTTACTTTTTATTACCATTACTACTTTACATAGACATTGGAAATGGAAAGAATTTATTTCACAATCCCATGCATAGCAATCCCCCAAACAAACACAGGTAAGGGTACTTTGGAAATTACTTCCCAATGACAAAATTATGCTATTGCCCCGTATATTTAAACTAATATAGTATCTATTCTAAAATACTATACTATCCAATACAAAGCTTTTGGTTGGCTTCTAAGTTTTTGATAATTTATCTCTAATTCAAAGATTAACTATTCTTAAGTTAAATAAAGTTGTTGGTCATGATTCTAGTTCATGTTTTTGTTTTTCTAATGTTTTGATCTCCCTTTCTAATGTATTCAGATTATGCTAAAGCTCAAATCTAATATTAACATGAAAATAATCAAAATCACATATTGATTGTATAGTCCACCTCGCTTCCTCCTCATTTGTCATTCCTTCCTGAAGCCTGCTTTCTGTTCCCGTGTCTCAAGCTAGATTATAAGACTCGTCTTTGAGCTACTAGAACAATCTTCATGGCACCTCCTGGCTTTCATAGTTCCTTTTACTCTCACTATAACCTAATATCCTTCACCTCTCTTTTTGGCATTGAGGAAAGACAGACTAAGGTTTTAGGAAATGACAATTGAAGAAAGATATCAATAAAGATGCAATATTAAAGATTTTATTCAATATCTGAAAGATTACAAGGACCTTACTGACTCTACAATGGATATTCAAATTAGAGATGGTTGTGTCTCTGCCCCACCTCTACGAAAGACACAAATAGCCTTAGAAATGATGCCATATAGCAGAAGTATATCTTGATTCTATAGTTGATCTCTTTCTTCCTGCAAGACACATAATGAAGTTGTGCCTAGGAATGGTAACATGAAACCATACAATATGTGACCATCTTTGTTGTTTCTGCTTGAATCTAAAGCATTCCCATGCAGATTTGGTGCAAAAAATGGTTGAGGACATCCATTTCACACTATCTATAGCAACCAGACCAAGCCTAAAAGTTGATGGAATGGTGTTAAGAACTTCCTTAATTTCAGCATTCTCGTGCTTACGCCATACCCATCCATAAGTTCCCACTATGCTACAAACTTTTGCTTCTCTCTCAAGGCTTGAATTTTTCACCATGTTCAAAACCCCAGACCTACTGAATGATCCCCCTAGAGTACCAAGGGTCCAACAAGGGAAATGTGTTTAAGCCATTTCCAACTTTATACCCAGTTTCCTTTATTTTCCCCATAGCTAAAACTTGAACATATATTTGCCATTGTCTTAGGTAATTAGCAGTGATGTTTGTAAGTCATTTATAATTGACAATGTTAAAGAGGAATGTGAAGTAGTACAAATGTAAAAGCATTGACAACTAACTTTTTGGCATTCAAGCGCTTGGCCACACCATTGTGGAAATTGATACAGACTATCAAAATGGGAAATCTCCATGAGTTCTTTTGTAATGCATAAGACACTACGCATTATTTTGCTTAAGTTTTGTGCAAAGATTTTTTTTAGGTAAGATTTCTACCAAGAGTCGGTTATGAAGTATTGTGCACTATTTTTGATGATCTTTATTTGCATTCTTGGTTTGTTTTTGAAGTCCTGGGGGTATAAATTCATTTAGTTTGTTTTTGGGTAGTTTAATTGGTATTAACTCATTTAGTGTTTTTTTTTTTTAAATAATACAATTTTTACCAGGGAAAAATTTTCATAGGGAAAGATTATGTTGAAGGCAACCCTTTTTACCTTAGAATATATTTTCTTAGGCAAAAGTTGCCACCAGCAAAAATTTTCCATGAAAAAACTCAACTTTAACCTATGATTAAATTTCGCCGGCACTTAGCTAGGGGCTCCCTCCAACAAACATTGCAACAAAAAAATTTGTAGCAAAGTTCTTTTAGTGATGAATTTCGGATTGTTACCTAGTAAAATTTTTAGTGGAATGTGCTTTCTGTGGTAGGGGAATACCAATATATATAGGATGACAGAACATTCATATTCCTCAATAATAGGATTGAGATAAATCGAAGGTCAAATCATGCTAATGATTATGACTAATTGACTGACTCATCACACAAGAAAATTTGATTTTTGTTTTGACAAATAGGGTGACAAAAAAGGGGCAATGCAAAAAGTTAGTTTCGGTCTATTGTCGAAATAAAAATGTATTAACTTTGGAAAATATGTGTTTGCACTATGTACTTGGAACTAAAATTAGGATTAAAGAAGGCATTGGTTTTATATATTTATAGAAAGTAAATCAAATGACTTTTACCTATTTCACTTCGGGAATCAATTATATGTTGGTCCAAAAACACAAAGTATGAGTATATTTTTGAACTTTACGAAAGTAAAGTGTTTTTGAACATTACTACTTGGGATTAAAAGGTAATGTAGGCAAGCTATACAATAACTTAAATTTTCATTTAAGTTATCCATTGGTTTATTGAGGGAACACATTGAACTCTTTTGGAGCTCTTCCTTTTACTCTCATGACTACATAAGTAAAATGCATAACATAACCTAATGATAGAAGTACATAAACTGAAACCATTATCTACTGAAAACTTTAAAATAGTACAGTGCTTTTATTGAAAGAGTACACATAAAAATCTAGCTAATGGGTCACACAATGTTGCGGTTGAACAACTTATGAAAACTGTCAACAACAAAATAGTAGCAAGAGGTCATACATGCTTCAACCAAATGGAGCCATGCCCTTTGCCAAGGAGGGTTCACATAAAGAACTGCTAAAGTTCCTAATAACAACATGATATAAGACACTAAAAAGCTCACATGAAATACATCCATGTCAGTGAAACCACCATCATTTTGCTCATCCTCTGAATCTTTTGGAATTGACGATGGTGCTCGGACATCAGTACAATTGTTATGTGATGGAGGTCCACAAATATAAGGATTTCCCTCGTAACTACTCTCGCTGAAGGTAGCAAACTGAGCTTTCAAATCTGGAGTTTTACCTGATAAATTGTTGTAGGCGACACTGAAGACCTCCAAGAAGTTCAACTTAATCAATTCGGAGGGGATACTCCCGGTCAAGTTGTTATAGGAAAGATCTAAACTCTCAATATGACTTAGGTTGGACAACGATGCCGGAATGGATCCAAGGAGATTGTTATGCGACAGATTTAACATGAAGAGCTCACTTAAGTTCCCAATTTCTGGTGGTATAGTACCAGTTAATTCGTTGCAAGAGAAATCAAT